AAAAACTTTAGGGTTCGGAACGTATCCTTTTTGGTTTCCCCAGGCGCCCTATGCTGCACAGTTATTGATTGATGTGCGCCTCAGGAGATATGCTGGGTTTGTTATATCACCCCCAGATTTTTTTTCCTTAGTGAGGTTTGCAGTCTTTGGCCATCTAAACTATATTGTGTCTGCGGTCTTCTTTGCCCTTCCCCAATCTTCATGGACTTTGCATTTGGCAGGTTAAACTCAAGGAGCCAGTTGCTGGACCAGGCTTGTAGCCTCTGTGTGTGTGTGTGTGTGTGTGTGTGTGTGTGTGTGTGTGTGTGTGTGTGTGTGTGTGTGTGTGTGTCTGTTTGCCTGTGTGGATGTTGACGCGTGCGAGTGGGCACCCGCCCATATGTGGTTGCAAGGGTCGAGTCACAGCTCCTGGTCCTTTGTGTGTTGGTGTGTGTTACTGTGGGAGTTTGTGTAGGTATTAGTGTAGCTAGTTTTCTGTGCACCTCGTATCCATCTTGTGTATGGTAATAGAATAATTCACATACAAATCCAGAAAGTCATAATTTTATGGCTGCAACAAATCCACAATTTCAGTCTTAAATTTAACCATCCATAAGGCTGCCCCCCCCCCCCCAAATTTCCTCTATTTTAATCCTGAAACGAGGCCCAATATAATATATTATCCACTTCAAATTTCTTCTTATCCACATTAAAACGTATCCAGAAGCGTCTAAACAATTTATTATCCATCGGATGTATTATCCATTCGATACATTATCCATTTAGAGGAGCCTGGGTAATTTATTCAATAGGTCCACCGTAACTAATGACTGCAGATCTCATTAATTAGGAGCCTGTGTTTCTGTAAGATGTATGCAATGTCAGTAGGTGACCTCACCTTTGTTTTAAGATGCTACGCAATGTAAATAGGTGTTAATGACACCTCAGACGCACCTATCGAAAAAAAGCGTAAAGTGCTGCGTATTTTTTTTACAATAGTCACAAGCTTTATTGTCGCAAAGCTTTACTGTCACAAGTGTGGCTTTGTGATGAGCTTAAATAAAGTAATGGTAGAATTTTACTGGAGCAAAACATTGTTAAAATAAACATTGGCAATAAATATAGTTACAATAAACAGTTTTTGTTACATTCAAAAATGTCAACAAGTCAACTAAAAACTGAAATTGATGACTAGAGTCCGTCATAAGACACATTGGAACACTCTGGTGTTGCATTTGTCTGATTCATCCACTCAACCATCAACGTCAGATTCCAGGAAATCTTGATGGTACATATGTGACTTATTCATCAACTCCCAAACCACCAACGTCAGAGTCCAGGCTCCTCAACTATCAACCAAAAACGTCATATTCTAGAAAATCTCGATGGAGCAGATCCATTCATGAAGGCATGATGTTGCTCTCACCACATCAACAACAAGCAACGTCGAAGCTGAGTGGTGCTCAACACCTTGTTGACACTGTTGTGACTAGTAGTCGTTGGGCAAGACTTGACCATGGAAGGATACAAAGTGCTGCTCTGAGTGCTGGAAGGGAGGGAGGCCACACCTTCAGAAACAACAGGTCTGCTGGCCACTCAGAACAAAAACTGCGTCGTACTCTTCCAGTTAAGTACCCGCTGTGAAGAGACGTGATCACCTCCACCAAGAATCAGTCATATGCGGCCATGTTTAAACTTACAGTCTCTCAGATTCTTAAAGTCATCAAGCAAGCAACCGGTGTATCATCCACTGACCCAGTCAACCTGTGCATCCTTCACTGATCCAGCCAAACAGTGCATCATCTACTCGCCCAACCACAATACTTCAAGATGGTTCTTCCTTTTTTAATGAAAAAAAAAAACTGCTAAGAAATAGGTACAGTTGTACCTCGGTACTCGAACTTAATCCATTCCACAAGTCTGTCCGAGTGTCGATCCGTTCGAGTATCTAACAAATTCTTCCCAACCAATTTACTTTTCGGTTGGCTGTTATCACTAATCTTCGTAGGCCCCATGGCGACTTATTTATACAAATATAAAAAACACCAAAAAATGCTTTGTTCGAGTACGGAGCTGTTCAAGTACCGAGGTTAGACTGCATAAGAACATGTACTTAAAAAATCTCCTCTAGCTTGCAAATAGTCATTTAAAACTTTAACAAAAGACTCAGCAGCAGATGTAGGGGAACCTTGAGTACACTAAGAGACAACACTAAGTGTCAAGGGACCAAGACTGTTCAACTGCCTTCCAGCATATATAAGGGGGATTACAAATAGACCCCTAGCTGTCTTCAAGAAGGCGCTGGACAGGCACCTAATTTCAGTATCTGATCAGCTGGGCTGTCGTACGTCGGTTTACGTGCGGCCAGCAGTAACAGACTGGTTGATCAGACCCTGATCCATCACGAAGCCTGGTCTCGGACCAAGCCGCGGGGGCGCTGACCCCCGAAACCCTCTCCAGGTAAACTAGTCGAGATCGCCTCCTTTCAGCTAGGACACATGCGCTATAAGACATCTCTTTTGCGGCTACGTTTCACTCTCGAGGAGCTTCGTCAGGCCATTCCCTTACTGTCTCAGTTGCGTATGTGTCCTTTTATTTAACACATTTCGATAATTCTATTAACATTGTTTCCACCAATACTGCCTGCGCAGTTTGACTCGTATCTCAGAAGCGCAGCTCATCCAGGAACCTTCAACTCTGCATTCAATGACAGCCTCCACCTGAGTTCTCTGACAACCAATCAAGCAACCCTGATCAACTGAGGCAGACACCAAAAATCAATCTAATTTCTCCCGAGTCGACTAGAGGAAGATGCAGGCTCAACAGCTGACATGAAGAAATTGAAA